CATAAAAATATCAACTATGCAAATGATCTTTATTGCACAATGTTAAATGTTTTCACTTATTTTTTCACTTTTCGTAATATCACACTAGACTTTACTGAAGACCCAATTGATGAAAAACTACTCTTTGAATTTCAAATTTATTTTCCACATCAATAATATATTTTTTTGAATTCTCAAAGAGTTTGTAAATATGTTCATTGTAGATGATGAAATCAGATTAAAACAAAATGTATTTAAAACCCAGGGATTTCAAGTTTTTCATTCTAAGTAATGTTGTTATCAGTCTGCAATGCAAAGACTTAGTATTGTCTATAGCTTTCATCATGAATGAACAGTTTGTATGACACACTGAAAACTACATGATACTTTTGCATCTAATTGACATCAAGCAGCTGTGTTATTTTGTCTTCCTTATGTAATGGCAAACTCTAATGGCTCCACCCTTTAGGCAAATTCATTTCATTATCATGTTTCACTTAGAAAAGGAAGATAAAAATTTAGTAATGAGTAACACATTTTCCCTACCACAAAATTTATCCCAGAAGAGCAGCGATATCTAATAACTGTTTTTTTTTTTTTTCTCTTATTGGCAGTACTTCAATCTTGATGCTGTTTATTTAGTGTACAAAAGGCAAGATTTTTAGAAAAAAACTTTGTTTGTATTGAATGGGTATTTTTGAACTTAACAACTGAAACAAAATATAATCAACATTTAAAGTAGTTTTAAATCTTTCTTTGTTCATGTTGAATAGTTTCAAGTCAAACAAGAAAATAATGCTAACAACAAAATGTTTCCACACCAAAATAATTGAGTTAACATTTTTGATTCAATATGATTCAGAAATTGTTAATATTTCATAAAATAATGGTCATTCAGATGATGCCAAAAAGAGATCAGTATTTTAAAAAAAGTGGGTGGAGAGGGAAGGTGAGACTTTTTTTTTTTTTTTTTTTTTTTTAGAAGGAAACCTGTGAAAAAAAACTCAAGTCTGAAATAAATGGACTTGTTGAAAAGTAAATGTTAATGTCAGGTGGAAAATCTTGTGTTAATATGCCTTTCTTGTTTCACTATTTTTCATACCTTTTATTGTACAGAAAACTACAAAACTAGAGAAAATATCAAAACTTTTTTCTTTTTCTTTCTTTTTTTTTTTTTTTTTTTTTTTTTTTTTTTTGAGAACAAAAATTTTTTATATCATTTTTATTTTTTAGTTTCTAGCTAAAAAGCTTTGAGTTACTTTTATTAGTTGGATGGATGAGTGATTTTGAGTTTTGCATGTGATTTATATAGTCAACAGAACTTCCGTTTTTGAAACTGTTTTCTTTTTTTTTGTTTTTTTTCTTTTTGTTGTAGTTGTGGTGGTGGGGGGTTTTTAGTTGTAATTGTGGTGGGTTTTTTTTTTTTTTTAGTTGTGGTGGGGTTTTTTTTTTTTTGTAGTTGTGGTGGGTTTTGGGTTTTTTTTTTTTTTTGTTGTAGTAGTTGTGGTGTTTTTTTTTTTTTTTTTTTGTTGTAGTAGTTGGTGGTTTTTTTTTTTTTGTAGTAGTTGTGGTTTTTTTTTTAGTAGTTGTGGTGGTTTTTTTGTGTAGTAGTTGTGGTGGTTTTTTTTTTTTTGTAGTAGTTGTGGTTTTTTTTTTGTAGTAGTTGTGGTGGTTTTTTTTTTGTTGTAGTAGTTGTGGTGGTTTTTTTTGTTGTAGTAGTTGTGGTGGTTTTTTTTGTTGTAGTAGTTGTGGTGGGTTTTTTTGTTGTAGTAGTTGTGGTGGGTTTTTTTGTTGTAGTAGTTGTGGTGGGTTTTTTTGTTGTAGTAGTTGTGGTGGGTTTTTTTGTTGTTGTAGTTGTGGTGGGTTTTTTTGTTGTTGTAGTTGTGGTGGGTTTTTTTGTTGTTGTAGTTGTGGTGGGTTTTTTTGTTGTTGTAGTTGTGGTGGGTTTTTTTGTTGTTGTAGTTGTGGTGGGTTTTTTTGTTGTAGTTGTCGTTTTTTTTTTTTGTAGTTGTCGTTTTTTTTTTTAGTCGTTTTTTTTTTTTTTTTGTAGTCGTTTTTTTTTTTTTGTAGTTGTCTTTTTTTTTTTTTTTTTTTTTTTTTGTAGTTGTCGTTTTATTTTTTTTTTGTGTAGCTGTCTTGTTTTTTTTGTTTGTTTTTTTTTGTAGTTGTCATTTTTTTTATTGTATTTTTTTGTTTTTTTTGTAGTTGTGGGTTGTTTTTTTGTTGTGGGTTTGTTTTTTTTGTGTGTGTTTTTTTGTTTTGTTGTAGTTGTGGGTTTGTTTTTTTTTTTTTTTTTTTGTTTGTTTTTTTTTTGCTTTGTTGTAGTTGTGGGTTTGGTTTTTTTTGTTTGTTTTTTTTTGTTTTGTTGTAGTTGTGGGTTTGGTTTTTTTTGTTTGTTTTTTTTTGTTTTGTTGTAGTTGTGGGTTTGGTTTTTTTTGTTTGTTTGTTTGTTTTTTTTTTTGTTTTGTTGTGGGTTTGGTTTGTTTTTTTGTTTTTTTTTGTTTTTTTGTTTTTTTTGTAGTTGTGGGTTTGGTTTGTTTTTTGTTTTTTTTTTTGCTTTTCAATCCACTGGTTATCTACATTCCTTTGAGATGGTGTGGGGTCAATGTTGTTTAGCCAAAATATTCCTTAATAATTCTAATGTATATATTTTAAAATTTTGCAGTAAAGGAAATAGTTTATTTTTGTTTTGATTTTCTTTTCTTTCTTTCAATGAATATTATTTGATTAATTGTTATTTAGTCCTTCTTGATTTCTGACTAATATCCAGTGCATGAAGTTTTTTTATTAAAATCATATTTATTCTAAAAGAACTAATTTCTTATAAAAAATTCTTACTGTTCACCAATAATGACAAACTTTAATAATAAATGGACCATGTACATACAAAAATAAATGCTTTTTTTAAAAGAACTTCAATTCATATACTTGTATTATTTATCTCTGAATGTGAAAAAGTTTATCAGATTTTAATAACTAGTTTTGCTTTAATAAAGAAAGCAAGAAAATTAAATTTTTCTTCTGTCAATTTTTGATTAATCCCTTCCCTGCCAATTATTTTTGGGAAAAGGTTTCATTTTCAGCCAAATTTTTTTTTTATTTGTATTTAATATAGTAAGTAAGAAACTGGGGCACCTTGAATTACCCGAGCAGTAGCAAACACCTTTACCAGGTGTATGTTGACAATTGGATTTGTTTCATGCTCAGAAGGGCATAAAAATAATTAAGATCAATATATAAATATGTCTGTAGCTGGTTTTTCAATGTTGTCTTGGACATGTTCATTCATTCGTGTCTGAAAGAGACTTGTGGTAAAAATGTATATACACGCCTATGCCAGGGAAGGAGTTAAAAACTTGAATGAACCTTGAACAAACATTTACATGTTTTTGCTTATCAAACTAAATTTAAAATGCAAATTAAAATAAATGATAATATAAAATTTGGTCATGACGCAAATGGTAAATGATAATTGTTGATAAAGATATAAAACATTATTATAAATAGGTAAAATACATTATTCTTTATGTAAAAAATGAATGCATGAAGCAGAATTCTTAAAGGATGATAAAGTTACTTTGACATTAAAAATTAAGAACACTTATATATAAAATTATTTAACCAAAATGTGTAAAAGTGATTTTCATAAAAATTGCAGTAAAATTTAACTAATTTGTTTTTGTGCTTATTCATTTTTAAAATTTTAATTTCTTTTAACAGTCTGTACTGCTTGTTTTAAAAAAAATAAATCAATTTGAATACCTTTTCATAAACATTTTAATGATGTTTTTACTATGGTGGCAAAAACTCTAAATGATAATGTTTGTAAAAAAGAAAAAAAAATCATTTCGAAAAGTTTTTAAAACATCTTGAATTGAGCCACTGGCTGGGTTGAAGATTCAAATCCCCCAATTATGTTGACATCCCCCCACCCACTTTTTTTTAAATGTCTTGTGAATTTGTTGAAATGTATTGACATATGATCTCATTATAGTAATTCTATTGAAATCTGTAAATGATTTTCTTGATGTATGAGATTTCATTAGTGCATTAGCTATCAATCACTGCTTAATGACCTTTTGTTGATGTTTATATGATCTATATAATGTTTCCTATAAATTTGTCAAAAAGTTTATAAAAGTCAAATATTAGTACTATATTGTTTCCCTGCTCTGTATATTTGGTGTCAGCATACTGATCTATAAAGAGAAATTGCTTAGTCGAATGCAGCAAGTTAATACATGAATGTTAAAGCAGTTAAGACATGATGATTGAACTTGTCAATAACAAAAATCACTTGTTGCATTACCTTGCTCCTTGTAGTTGACATTGATTTTTTTTTTTTTTTTTTAAGCTTCTTTCATGTTTCAGTAGTAAAACTAATTACTGTTAAAACTATTATATGCTAAATGAGGCAAAATTAGTTGTAATTGTTTTTGATACTTTCCTATGTTTCAGAAAAATTGTCTTTTTTTGGTTAAATCAACCTGAGTCAAGTAGAATTTGGCAGTTTGATTTTCTTTCCCCACTCCCCTCCACAAAACATCTTTTATTCTGAACTGGAATGCATTATATTTCAAGTCAAATTACCTTTATTATTATTATTATTATTATATATAAGAATGTTTTTTTATGTAATAAAAAGTAATATATATAATAGAAGTAATATCGGCGCAAATGCACTTTGTTTCAAAGCAGCTTTTGTGTTACTCAGTTGGTGATTTGTTTGCTTGAAAATATGTGGAGATATAACAACAATTGACTTGGCTCTAAGCTTATAAAAATCATGAAGTTTTGTTTATAAACATTTTGATTGTCTATAAGGATTTGTCCATTTTTAAGTATTTCTCTCATTAATTAGAAAGTTTCCTGCTGATATGGCTTCTACACATCTATATTTTTTATTAAATTTTTATTTTTATCCTTTGTTATTAGATATTTAAATTTATCTCACTAAATTCAATTTTATATTTGAAGATATAATGGTTATTAAAACTTTATATGAATATTTTCTTTTTCAGTTTAATAATTGTTCCTATTGGTCGATATTTAGGAATTCGAGAAACACAGAGAAAAGTCATATACAACGCACATCTAGAAAAAGTCTATAAAAATGGTAAATCTATAGATGAAAAACAAATGACAGTAAGTATCTTTCCCTCACCAACTAATGCCTTCTCTACCCATGTAAAATCTAGAAAATCTGACAGAAATACAAATGTAATTCATTTGTTTTGTTTTTTTTTTCCCCCCCCAGTAGCCTATCTTTATTGAGGGAATACTAAAACAGATTTTTTTTTCCAAGATATAATTTACACCTTCAAGATCCAGCTTTATATACAACTGTGTTCACTTAATTGTTTTTCATTCCACATTAAGAGTATCCTGTCTTTATTTCTTTTTTTTTTTTTTTTTTTTTTTTTTTTTGCATCTTCCACAAATATTTAGGAAATACCATATCATTGGCATACTGTGTTCTTTTCAAGGAAGCTTTGTTTTTATAAATTTTATTTGCTTCAGAAGCACTAATACAAGACCTATTTGGTTCACCTCGGGTCTTTAAAACAGTTGCCTGGTAAACTATATTGGTAACTGAACATTTTCTCCAGAACAAAGAGTTCTCTATTTCTGAAGTTACAAGGGGAAGTTGGATTTGTATTCTGTGTGCACAATTCTTTAATATTTGTTTTATTAGTTGGTTTACATTGTCCATGCAGCAATAGCTCAATTGTGTACCTATGGAATAACTTATGGTGTTTGTTTACTTATAACAGAAAGTGTTTGCTTCATGACATTGTCTTTTTTTTCTTTTTCTTGTCATATCCTCAAAATCATGTCACCTAAAGTGTTTTTCATTTCATGTAAATATTTGAAAGCAAAATTTTAGATACTTTTCTAATTTTGGCATATCATGGGCCAAAGAGGAGTTTAAGAAATTTGATGTCTGAGTCAAGTAATGTTTTAATTTGGTAAAACTGTCTATATGACAAATTTGAAAAATGTAACAAAACCAGAGGTAAACATGGAAAATCAATGCCACATTTGAGTATAAGTATATAAGCATATTCAAGCAACTTTACATTCTGACTCCCTTCAAAACTTACAAGTTGCTGGTAAAATTGCCTAAAATTATTAAACAAACTAGAAAGACACAAGTTAATAGTGTGCACTGAATACCTGCTTCTTCTTTTGCTTTTTTTTTTTTATTTAAAAACAGCAGGTAGCCTATTCATATCCTGAAAGGGAGAGGATTGGTATAAGTAAATTTCCAAGCTACTATTAGTCACAAAGTAAACATGGACTTGAAGTCAAACTAAACTTAAACAGAAACAATATCAAGTGTTTGTTTGATTTTTTTTTTTTGTTTTTTTTTTTTGGACCTTGAGATGACAAAGTAGGCTAAAAAAAATTATATACAAAAAGAAAAATTAAAATCAAGAAAAAGATAAACTAATGGATGTTACTAGTCTTTGTAGTCATCATTTATTGATGTAAATGGCCTTGAATAATTTTTTAATTTTCACCTTCAGTAATTCATTTTGAATTTCTATCAGCCGTTCGTTTTTTTTTTTTTTTTTTTTTTTTTAAACATCCATCAACTTTTCTTTGAATGTCAATTGTTTTGATATGAGACTAATATAAAATCATGTCGTCTCATACTTTAGCCTGTAAATCTGCCAGTGAACTTTAGTGTTGAGTATGCTGCAGCTTTAGTTAGAATTTTATTCATGATCACAAATTAGATTTGTGTATGTGGAAGCTTGTCAATCATAAATCATAGCTTGATTGGGAGGAGCATTTGTTGCTGAAATTTATGAAAATGTGTTTATATGGATTCATCAGTTGCAATTCAAATAGGGTTAGAGAGGATATTTTTGGCACCTATTTGTGAACTGCTATCAAGCAAACATACACAAGAACAGAACCATATTAAGAATTATGAAAAAAGTAATGCTGTAGAATATCATCAATTATCGTGATACATCAATTTTCAATAGTATTTTTTTTTATCTTGGATTCTTTGTAAAGTTACCCCCAAAAGTTGAGTTTGCTAAATTTATGAATTATGACTCTCTATAGCAGACTTTAGAATCTCTTTGAAAATGGCCAATGGGTGGTTTTTCTTTCTGTATAATCAGTAGACAGTGATGAAGATCAAAAGTAATATCAACAAAATCCACCTCCTTTCAATTTATCCTTAATGTCAAAGGGCCATTTCTTTAAAGCTCCAAATCTCCTTTTTGATGTTATCCATACTCCTAGCATTGAAACTCCTGAGAACCATTAGACTAGTCACTAATATGCAAGGGGTTACTGAGTGTGGAAAAGTATGAAAAAAAGAAAAACATTAAAGACAGAACAATAAAAACACAAATTAAGAAGACAGAAGGTAACGATTGATATTGCATTTAATTTTTTTTAAGATCAAAGTTGATTGGAAAACAAAAGGCAGGAAGAGTTCCACATGCCAAGTGAGAAATTCAAGAGAAGAAACTTAGCATAGTAGTTATGGTTACATCTATCAATTTCATATGTAAAATGAGGACTATCTGCCAATCTATTACTGTGTTTAAATTTGTAAAATCAAGGTACCAAAGAGGAAATCTCAGAACAATTACCATGAAAATATTTATAGAAAAGCTAAATTTGTTAGATGCTAGATCAGTATCTGCTCCATCAAACTTCTCCATTGTGATATCAAAGCTGCCATGATCATCTTTCTTGATCTATACAACTTCATTGTTAAATAATAATTTTAAAAAATGCTGGATCTTGGTGCAGATTATGCCTGGAAGAATTGCTCCAACAAGACAGGCTATTGAATAAAATGACAGTTTTCAATTGTACGCACAAAAACAAGACTTACTCTGCTACTGACCATATGATCATGGACTGGTCCATATTTATCTCTCAAAATGAAATAAAACTGAAACTTATTTCATCCCAAGAAGAAATTTCTTCAGACTAATAATGGTTTTATTGATGGAATCAATTTATATATATATATATATATATATATATATATATATATATATATATATATATACACACACACACACACACATGCACACACACACAAGCTTACAAGCTAGTTCCTGCAGATGCCTCTTGATTGGGTCTTCATCACAATATGTAGGATGTTGTAGATGTGATACACAAGTATTGCAATAATATTTAAGCTTACCTTTTAAAAGTTCAACAATAATTTTTCTACCACCACTTAATTTAGACAGTTTGATGTATGTAGGTCCTTACTTTACATACAATTATTCTTATTTCATGGGTGACTTTTACTGGATTTCACAATTAATTTCGATTATTCCTAAATTGATTTCCAAGTTATAAAAATTATTGTACAAAAAAAATTTATCACAAATCATCTAAAAAAAAAATCGTGGAAAACTTGGGAATCAAAACTTTCAGGATTGCATGCCCAGATCTGACCCAGAATGCTTTTAATTTGTTCATGGATTTGGCCCGATTCCAAAATGGTATGATATGTTTGGCTAGAGCCTCTAGGAGTAAATTTGAGAAAGTGTGACACACTGACATTCACATTTATTATATAGATATATACTAACAATAAATAAAAAGTGTGCTAAATGTAAATAACCCAAGAAGTGCTTCATGTCAAAAGTAAGAGCTTATTATTAAATAAAAAAACTTGTTTGTTTCTGTCTGAAACGGAAAGAGCAAAGACTGAGCTTAGATATCTCCCTGGTCATAGACAACAGAACAAGAGCAATCAGTCAAACATAGATTAAATAAAGGGTTTAGTTTGAAAATTTGTGAAGGTTACTCAGAATGACAATCATCGGATGAAGGCCAGAGGTCACAATGGCTGAAACATTGTGATATTAACAAAGATAGGGACAATAGTCTGGGTGTAAATAATTTACATAAAAATAGTTTCTGTTGGATTTATTAATTTCCATCTGAATATTGCCATAATGGTGTGAAATGCTAGTGGAGAAGGTACATTACAAAAATAAACTATTACTTAATAAATATAGGGGAGCAGCTATAATAAATGCCAGTTAGTATTCTGCGTAAGAAAAAAATCACAAAGAAAATAACACAAATAACCTTGACAATACTAAGTTACATAATACTATTTACCAACTTAATAAGGAATACGTCTGAAAAGAATTTAAACTTAATATAAAATTTGTTAAAACTACTTTAAAAAAAAAAAGAAAAAAGCAATGAGAGATTTAATTATCACTAAATAAAATAACATTAAACCTGAAGCAGGAATTTGCAAAAAAAATAAACACAGGTTAAACCATTTTGAAATGGAAGATTATAGGAACATAAAAAGGATTTGCTAAACAAAACACTCAATGCATTAGTCATAAAATATACACTAGATGTTAAAAATTTAAAGCTAAGCATTCCTGTTTACTGCACATATATATATATATATATATATATATATATATATATAGCTCCATCAATAATATCATTATTATTCTGAAGAAGTTCCTTCTAGCACTCCCTACTCAAGGACTTCTTTTTTCCATTTTCCTATTCAATTACTCACTATTAATCTGATATAAATTTGTATGCATATTTTACTTTGTCCAATGATGCCTAAGCATGAAACTGTTAGTTCTGCTTAGATTTGTTTTTTTGTTTTTTTTTTCTTTCTTTCTGATTTTAGAAAATGCATGACATTGGACAATTCTTTTTTTTCTTCTTCACCAATGCAACATGATAGCAAGTGTGTTATCTCTCTCTCTCTCTCTCTCTCTCTCTCTCTCTCTCTCTCTCAAATATTATTTACTTCATATTTTAAACAGAAACCCCATTATTATTTATTAAACAGTATCTATCACATTTAAAATATCCTAATAAAGAAAAGCTGTTCTCCAGCAGGGGGATTGAACTTGCATCCCCTTCTATTAATTCTTTACTCGCACTTGTCTATGTTCATAAATACCTAAAATAAATACAGTCTTTACAATTTTCACACAAACTGTAATGGAACTTTTGAAGATTGCTTATTAAATGAGAAAAATATTAACATTTGTAAATAAAAAGTTGTTTGAAGAATAATTGGATTTTCTTCATCTTTAAGGTAGTATATCTTAGCGTAAATTAAAATTTATTAATTGACCTAAGAACCATTAGGAGTTTGGCTATTCTGGCAGCTTAGAATCCTGGGACCAAAATGTATTTGTTAAATACATTTTTAGCTCCAGCTTATTTATTAAAGATAATTTCTTGCATGAAACTTGCTTCAAAAAGTGGTATTTAGCAGGAGATGTCTGATATCATTTGCAAGATGTCAGGTGCTGTCATAGAGAGTAATTGATCTTTTTTCAGTTGAATATAATTGGAGATATAATTAAAGAAAAAAACTACTTCAAATGCCAGTACTTATCAAGTAAATTGTTTTCAATGTGAAAAGGTTTATATAGGGGAGACATCACATGATCTAAAAGCCTGCACAAAAGAGATTTACATTTAACAGACAACCATTCACACTCTCTTGTAATACACAGAAACAAAATTAGCTATAACTTTCATTTTACTAATGCCACCCTCATTAAAATAGAACATAATACTTTAAGGAGAAAGCACTTTGAGAGCCTAATAATAACAATATTACCAACTTTTATCACCTGTCAAAAAAACATTGCCGACTTTTATTGAATCCATTCTTAAAGAATTTAGCATATGTTTACCTAAAACAAACAGTATGTATGTAAAAACATCTCCAAATCAACATTCAACACACCAACAAACATAATGTCTACTAGATATACATGCATACATACAATTATGAATATACATTATCATTTGATGCCAACATAAACAAACTAGAATTTTTATACACTTGCATACATATGGTAATATTTATGGTTTTTCACATAGGCTTAGAACTCATTAATTTCTTGAAACTTCAGATGGACATGTCCTCTCCTCTTGAATTCAAAATGCCACATTATACTCGCATCATTTTAAAAATCAAACGCACATGATACATGATTGACCAATGAAAATTAAACAACACAAAAGTAAAAATACTTGTTTTCCATATCTCTGTCTCTGACAAAACTTTAATAAAAGTGAAATCTGTTAGACTGATAATGTTTCCTATTTGTTGTTCATCTTATTCTGTCAGATTCCGATTCCATATTTGATCCTAACTCATGTTGAATATAAGCATTTAGGTTTAGAGGCATTCTTTAACTTCCTAGGAATACTCTTTTTGTGATGATTTTACCAAGTTTCAATAAGTTGTAGTAATGGATCATTCCACTTGCCTACAATCAAACATTAAATATAACTTTCTTTTGATGCAGTTAGAAAAAAATTTTTCCTCATGTGTCACGATACAATAAAAAAAAAAAAATGAATTGTTTGTGTTGCACACACAAAAAGCAAACAAACACATACATAGCAAATGTTTTAATAACACATTCTTTTTTGTTCAGATTGTGCAACATCCACTTGAATTTTCTGGATGTTTTTCTTCTCCCAGTTTGGTGAAAATATTGAGCAAATGTTAAATGGTTAATGTTTAGTTCTTTTGCAAATTCTTTAGTTTTATATGGGTTTGCTCCAATCATTAGTTGATGATCATTAATTGCAGAAGCATCAGCTCATATTCAAGAAGCTCTTATCTCTTCTTTTTTAGGGAACCAATGTTGAGCTCTGTTTATCGTCTCCTGATGAAATGTTTGGTTGATATTAAAAACAGTTTCTGCTGCTTTGTACCACATTTTGAACTCCTACCACTTTACTTTGCTTTTTTTTCTTTCTTTTTCTTTTTTGACTGCCTAAGATAAACAATAACAGTGAAACAATTTGTATAAATGAATATTGTGAAATTTGTGCTTTAAAACAGTTCATTATATGAATATCATTGTTTATTCCATAAATAAACATCCAAGTTTAACAAAGACTGCAATTATACACATAAAATTTAATGATGATTGCCTTAAATTCTTCATATTCATTTTAAGCAAAATATTTTTTCTAATTGTTGTTTTTTTGTTTTTTCTAATCTAGTTTCTTAAAAAAGAAACCTCTATGAATAGTATACATATAAGGAATTGGATGAGAATCCGAAAATTACAAGATGCACCAACGACAATGTTAAAGTTTAGAGAATGCAGGTGAGTGACTTGTCTGAATATTCCTTGATTTTCTTTGTCCTTTTTTTTTTTTTTTTTAAATGAATTAATGGCACTTAGCAAAATTCATGCCTGACAATGTTCAGAAGAAGGGAATGTTGTGGTGTATTTTAATCAAGTTGTCTTTGTGTGAAAATTTTCAAAGCTGTTTGATTTTTCATATGAAATTTGATATTTTTGTATCAAGAAGACTGCGGATATTCTGTAAGTATGTGCTCCCTGATATGCAAATGAATGAATAAAACTTAAAGGAATATCTCAATTTGACAGGAAATGATTAATTTTTACCATAAACAATCAAGCCTTTCAAATAGAAAGTGTAATCATATCTAACATTATTCAAATATCTTAAATGCCAGAATCTCCACAAAGTAAAAATAAAATAACCCCTTTATATTTGTCAAAGGTTTTAGATAATTTAAATTCCTTATCTATATTTTTTTTTTTTTTACTTTAATTAGTTATTTTATTCTCTTTGTTTAAAGTTATTCTTAGAGATTTAATAAGTAAATGTCACAAATAATAAATTTTTATAACTGAATCAATTTGGTGTGTGTCATTCCTTGCACATAGACAAGTTTGTCTGTGATTTGGTCTGTGGATCAAGAAAAGTTAGAATTATATATAATTGGATTGACTGACTAGAAATAGCTTGGTTAGGTTACAAAGCATGACACAGATGGTATTGATAGCAAAAATTCTTTTTATCCCTCTAATGGCATAACCTCAAAACTATAAGGTTAAGTTGAAATATTGATTTCTGTATGGTAAAGAGTTTAACCCTACATCACTAATTGTCATTTTGTAAGACTTCTTGTCAGATTTTCATCTGATAATGGATATGTTATCAATTGAAACTTTCATTAATAATTATAGTATTAGATAAAACACTTTGATTGATTGACTGATCATGTGTGTGTGTGTGTGTGTATGTATATATTTAGTGTATTGGGGCAGCTGATCATTATTTAAATATACATTAGATATAACAGACAATGAATGTCTGTTATGTCTGATCATGAGCCGTTCTATAGTTTGTGTGTTTTAATTTCTGGTTAAAATAAAGATAAACATTGTCCAATATGTTTATATATATATATATATATATATATATATAAAGAAATATAGTCTTAAGGTGTGCTATATTTATGGGATAAAGTGCTCAATATCAGAGATAGAGCGTGTATAAATATAAAAGTGAACATAGAAGTCAACACTTAGAGGCGACAGTCTGTTTCATGCTATATGCAATCGTCAGGCCATATATATATATATTTAGAGAGAGAGAGTTGTAGCTTCTGTTTGTTTGTTACTGAACTCTCCTCGGGTTTTGGAGATAAACTCCCATAACCATATATATATATATGAAACTCTATTACCTAGGGTACTTGGATAAGTATATCTTATTTGGATCAAAGGGGATCCCTAGGAGCTCAAAACCCCAATTTTTTTTTCCTTTTGATTTGATTTGCTTTAAATTAAATCTAAATTTGAACAAGAGAATGATTCCTATCTAAAATATAGAAGAGGAAAGCCAGAAGATGGAGGTCACATCAGCAAGATCAAAATGAGACAATATGGATGTCAAGTTGAGCAAGAAATCACCAATCAGTGGGTAGTTCCTTACAATACATATTTTTTGCAACAATTCAACTGTCACATAAATGTTGAAATCTATTCATCAATTCATTCAATCAAGTATTGCATCAAATACATATCAAAGGGTTCAAATCAAGCTGTTTTTGCACAAACCCCCTACTGAAAATATTTTACCTTCTTAGACTTAAATTTAAATTTGAGCAAGGGAATGCCTCCTAGCCAAAATATGGAAGAAGAAAGCCAAAAGATGGAGATCATATCAGCAAGATTATTGAATAATATTGAAATGCATCAGTTTTCTCCACAAATTATAACAATGATTTAGAGTGAATCATCATTTTCTTATAAAAATGAAATGTGTGACACTCAGCAAGGCACAGGTAATTTGGCTAGTGTATATATATATATATATATATATATATATATATATATATATATATATATATATATGAAGGAGAGATTTAGCATCGCTAAGCTTTGAATTCAAAGTAGTCGTAAAATTAAAAAGAGTAAAAAAAAAAGAAATTTGCATGAATTGTGTATGAAGAGCAAATATTTTTGTTTTATTCAGTATTCACAAATTAAAAAAGGGGTGGTTAAAAATTGATTGGAGTTTAAAACTATTAATAATTTAAACATTTGTGAACTCTTGAGGTCCTTTTATCGAATGAGACCAACTGATTAAGTATGAATAGCTAAAGATATGCCACGTCTAAAGTATGTCTTGGTAATGCCTCACCAGACATCATGATGAAAAAATACTTTTCCCTTTGACCTCCTAATATTTTAAGAGTCCTTTTGAATAGGAGGAAAGGAGCTTATTGTGCAAGTTGAGCAGATTTGAAATATACTTGAATAAGACTGATAAGAGAACAAAAAAGCCTAGCCTATTAAGTGGGCAAAAATGATGGTTTTGTGAAGCTTAACAAAGAATACATTGCATTGGTCTGTGTGTTAGGCAGGAATAAGGGAGTATTTTATTAATGCTTCCCTTGTCTTTTTCAAAACTGAATGGCAGATGTTTGTTTTTTTTGGGTTTTTTTTCATCTGCTTTTCTCCTACATGACTGAAAAGAAATGGGTGTCATGATTTTTTTTCTCTTTATTAGGATAGGGAAATTTTATTTGTGAAATTATTTTTCAAAATGAAATTGCCTTAAATATTGGTATAAATTAAGCATATTTTCATGATTAACTGATTAAATTGTAGATGTAATTACTTTGTCACCTACAAGTTTATTTTGAGAGGGCATCATCATTTGATCCAGTTTACGTATTTTTCACTGCTGTGGTTGCCACTCCTCTCCATCTCATGATTGTGGTTCATGGAGACATTCAAGGCATTTTCTTTTGCACCAGGGATGTTGAAGTTACCCATCCCTCCTCTCAGGGTTGGGTTTGGTTTGGTTTTGAAGTTATCTTCTCGCCTTTGCTTACAACCAGGACCTACTTTACAAAGTAGCGGGTGGTTTGAATTTAGTTTGCCTCTCCTAGACTGGTTGCCACTCAAAGCTATAGTGTGTCCTACTATTTTACCTATAGCTAGGGGGAGAAGACCTACACTCATGCCTTTCCCAAGGGTAGTAGCACATAAGTGAATGTAATGGATCCAACTGGAATTCAAACTCAGCTCTCCAATTCCTCAATCTGAGCCATTAGCCTGCTGTGCCTCCCAAATAAAGTAATTACTGATTATTTTCTAGAAAGAGCAGAATTGACAAAAGATTATCATTTAATTTGGTGTCTTTTTATTTTGTTTTTCCTTATCTATCATCACACCATCTTGAAAAATCAGGCAATACTTAAATGAACTGCTACTTAAATACTTATCTGAAATATGGTTAAGAAAATAATTCTTTACATTTATTATGAAAAAATCAACTTGTTTTGCTTGATAAATAGTAAGACCGAGTTAAATTTAGTCAACAAGAGAAAAAGATTATTTTTTCTATTAAGGCATTGGAGATGCCAGAATTTCATCTTTTAAGCTTAGTTTATAACAAATGACCAAATAGGGCTAAATTTAATTAAAATCTGTACTTATGCACAAATACTCTTGGACAATGATATGAATCCACCTCTTCTCCTCCCTAGCTATGGGTTAAATAGTAGAACTTGTATTAATAAATCATTATCTCCAAAAAGTTCTTACAATCTAAAAACCTTTCTTGCTTTTAATAATCCACAAAAGGTTAATAAGCTGTAAAAAAGAAAAAAAACAAAAAAACATCAATCTATCAATGCTAGGAGTGGGACACATTTCATCAGGATATTTATGGAACGTTAGTGTGTCATGAACATAAACGCTCTCAACCAGAATTCAAATTTGGTTTACTGATTTTGTTTTTCATGTCAATAATTACTATGCTTACAGAATTAATTTACCTTTTAATTTATTAAAATTTTAATTAACCAAGTTTTATTTTCTTTGTAATAACTTCAGTTAGGTTTTCATTTTGGTCAGGTTTGCTGTTTTAACAATTTTGTGTATACCTAAATACTAAAAGAATTTATGAAAAACTTGGAATGACAATCATTATGGTTGGAATAATAAACAAGCTCAGAATTTCAACTCTGGAAATAACAGCAGATTTGCTTCCACTTGTAGCTCAGTTTTTCAACACTTTGATTATTCTTAAACTGATTTTTTAGAAGGTAATCTGACATTTTCTCTCTTGTCAAAATTAGCAAGAATAAAAGTTAGAAAATAACAGCCTTTGCTGGCTATGGTAGAACTTATTTGATAAAATAGTTGTATGTATTTTCATTGAAATAGTAATATTAAATTTGGCTTTTAAATTGCCTGCTGTATTTTACTTCTGATTCTTTCAATATAGTGGGTTCGACATTGCTCTCCAATTTGATCTTCCCTTTCCAGGATTTACTTAATGACAGTGAAATATAGTTTCAAAACTTTCAAAGTCATTGGTAAGTTATGGTTGGTAATTGACAATTTCATTTATGTTGTTGATAGTATATGACTGGATTATAATCTTACTAATTTCTCTTTCATTTCTTTCTAACCAATAGTGCTTCTGAATTTATCAATGACTTTGCAAGATATTAGCAATTAAGATGCTTTAGTGTTCTATGTGCCATGTCCATTCAGGATGGGGATGATCACAATCCTCCAAAACTCCCTATCCCTGTGGCTCTTAGCAGTTTTTCTCCTTTTGTTAAAGTTCCCCCCTCCCATAACCTTTCCACAATCCATTCACACAAGCTAGCTTATGTTGGTGGCTTGCTGCAGATTTTGATGTCACATTTTCCATCCTCTGTTAAAATTTTCTAGATATTTAAGCTTCTTGCTTGATGTTGACATCTCCAATTTGTAACTAGCATCTTGGGCTTTTCCTGGTGTTACAGTAACAGCTAGTAACACTGTAACACCTAGTGTTACAATGACAATATTGTTTGTTGTTCAGCTTAAGAGGAATTGAAAGAAAGTGTATCTTAGTTTATCTTTCAGCACTTCTGAAAATGTGAATGGAATGTTCTTGTCTTGTGCCTTTGATCTTTGTTTTCTGATGAATAACCCATTTGTCAAGTTTGAATATAAATTTTAATTGCTATTTCTACTGCATGTAAATGTCAACATCTTGAGGCTGTAAAGATGAGAAAGGAGAAGCCTTTCATCTTGTGCTTAGAATTTAATAAATTATCATAAATGAAAGGTATTTTTTAATAGATTTTTTAATGTTTTCAGATATTTATGTATGTATGCCATAGATGAATGACTTTCAATGGATACATTTTTAGAGCCAGAATTAGAATTAAAAAATGGCAGATTAAAAAAAATTAGAATTGTTTGATATCTAGAACTCTTTTTTTTTTCATTCTGACTTTGGTTTTAAGGAGAAAAATCAGAAACACTCCTGACAAACTTAATGATTGGGCTTCTTAGTCAAATTGAATTAATTCTTGTTGGTGCTTACCCACTCACAATGTTCCACATTTTATTGCTCAATTCTTTGCTTAGCAGAGGAAGGAATATAGAACATTCTTGCGTATAAATTATGGAATAATGGGTTGGTAAACAATGAAATAACCTTAATTACAACAGTTTATGTGAAGATTTTCAATTTCTGGTTTACACTAATAAGAGAGAAACCCTATGTTTCCATATAAAATAACATGCTTGAAGAAGGCCATTAAATTGATAAGCAAAAATGTTGTGAACAAAAAGTAATGCTTTCAGTTGTCCAGACAACTCTTGAAAATATACCAAAGTATTTTTCTCCTTATTTGAATTTTATTACCATTTCTGTTATAGATAAAAAATATTTTACAGATCTTAAGAATCATCTGAAATAATCTTCAGCACAGCAGTTCCATTCTGTTTTAAATATTTAAAATCTAATAACAGTTTGTCATTATTTGTTGTTCTTTTCAAAAAATGTCCAAGTATTTAAATCTTTAGTGAAATTTAAGGTAATAAAAATCTATTACATTTATTTGTTTTTTTTTTTTTTTTTTTTTTTTTTTTTTTTGCGGGGGTGGTGAAGACTTGTGTTAAAATATGAAATCTACTTGCGAATTTAATTCCATCTGCTACAATGTTTTCTAATGAAAGATACTGAATCTGACAAACTCAGTCTAACCTACAACAAAAATATTATTGAAATAGAAACTTTCTAAAATTATTTATTTGGATTGGCAGCAGAAAATTGTTTATTTGGAATAATATTGTCCAAATATTGAAAACTTTTTTCTTATATGCAATGGCATAAAAGATATTTATTTTTGTGAATCTTTTTATCTTTACATTTTAAAACATTTTTCTGTTTGCTTTTCAGTTGGCATCTGTTGTTTTACACCTCTGCCTTTATATATGGCCTGATTGTTTTATGGAATGTAAGTAGATTATCTCTCTACATGTTCTCCCTAATTCCTTTACTTTGTCTGTGGTGTACAATATTGTCTCCATTGAACATCAGCAAAGGTTCAAATCTATGTGAATAAGCATAAACATTTATCAGTTTTTTCTCCAAATAAGTTTACTTGTATATTGCTGCCTCATAATTCCAAACACCTTATGTTTAATTTATTGAAAAAGATGTAAGAAATTTTTAACTATTGGAAAAAGTAAATAAGCAACATCTGTTCTTCCTGTTTGTATAAAATAAATTTTAAGGGAAAATGTTTTTATAATATTGTTTGATTTATTAAAAATTGTATACACAAGTCATTCTGTTGTTATTGTTTGTCTTTTCTTTAATAAAGACAAAATATTTAAGTACAAACATGGAACTTAATACAGTCTTCAATGATATACCTAGTGTTGCATGGGTCAGCTACCTTTCCTTTGCTCCACTGAACTATGTAGTTGTTTCTTTGAGAGAATTACACACACACACACACACACACACACAGTAAAATGCTATGGATGAAGTTATAATTTAAACAATTTAATCAGTTTATATTTTAGTGCAAGCTTTTAATGTACAGGATTTTATAATGCATGACAGTATTATTTTTCTTGATTTTAGAAAATTGAGTTTTGCAAGAAATATTTGCTCTGTTAATGTCAATTTTATACTGTTTATAAAATGAGATGTTCTATTCAAATACATGTATCTGCCAAAAATAACATTTTCAAAAAATGGCAGATTAAAAATAGAAAATCATTAACACTTTAGAAATTGCTTTGTTTACATTTCTGATACAAACCTGAGCAGATATAGCTTTAAAGAAAATATCTAAATGAGGATATGTGATTTAAAGTAAAGGGAACCTTTTTTGGCTGTGAGGCTCTCCATAGCTGAGTGGTCTAAAGCACACTGGATCAAACGGTGGTTTCTCTGATGAAGAGAGACACGGGTTTTAATTCTGTTGGCAGGTGCATTCTCTTGAGTTTTCTTGAATCTGCAGGCCAGTAGACAAAATAAACATTTTTTTTTTTAATTCTCAATTACAGGTATCTACCAAAAATAAAATTACTGGTATCTATTAAAAAATAAAATTTGAAGTATTAAAAATAAATGACTACCTATATAGAACATCTGTTACTCTTACACTTTCATAATAATTTTATAAATTTTACCAGATTTTTCAAATTTCACATTATTAGCAAGGTTACTGAAACCCTAAGAAACACTGTTGTAATTAAACAGAATGTGTGCAAAACTTAAAAAAATGTTTACAGAAGAAAATTAAAATGTGTCATTGTAAAGAAAACACAAATGAGATGGAGGTTTGATGTAATATAACTGCATTTAGGTTTTCATTCATTGATTTTTAGTGGGAGAGTTTGTTTTTTTTTTTTTTATTCTCATGAAACAGACTGCACAATATCCAGAATAGCATTGCACTTTATCTTTTCTGGTAAAGTGTGCCATCTGCCAAATCTTTCTCTAATACCTCCAGGAGTATCTAATCAAGTTAAGGTTGGGTGAAGAAAATGACTGAAATCCATCAGCAAAAACAATCACATATAAAGATTACAGAAGACCAAATAGAAGATGAGTAAAAGTTATTTTGGGAAATTGACTTTTAAGCTCAGCTCCCTTTGCTATACCAGTTATAATGCAACACACAAAAAGCATACAAATTTTGATAAAGATAAATGTTTAATGCCAATATTGTACTTTGTGATGCCATGACAGAAATACTCTTTGAGCATTTGTAAGTAGTTTTCACCTTTCAGTTAAATCTTTGACATGTGCAGTTGGCATTTTTGCCTACTACATATTTTTTTCTCCAAACTGCATTGACAACTTCATGGTGAACATCCACTTTTAAAACAGTTGGTATCAAAGAACTTTTGAATCCAAAGGTTATGACATTAACTTTGCAGACTTCTTACATCTCCAACAGGTCTTCCAAAAATGCATGAATGACGTATGTTATCTATTTTAAATAGATTTTGTGATATTCGTTACTATGTAGTCATTGTAGGTTACTAATATGAATCTTAATTGAGTATCTCTACCACTTATAGTAATGTCTACATTTCTAGAGTCTTGTCATATGATCATTTTTTTTTTTTTTTTTTTTTTTTGTCTATTCTCTTCCCCTGCCCAAAGAAATGTATGCTTTGACTGTTTTGGGGCAATTGGCTGGCAGCTGTCTGTCTTCATGTGCATCATCTCAGAATTTGTTCTGCTGGGGCAATAATGTACATTGCTGTAACAGATTTGTTTTGTTTTTGTTTTTAATCTTGCCATATGATAACAGCTACATCATTGCAGTTGTAAAGAATGTCCCATCCTCTTTTCGCCATTTATTGTATTTTGCTTTCTCTTTATTATTTTTTGTTGCAAAATAAACTAAATACAATCTTACCAACCCTCAGGAAAAAAAACTGCCATTAAAGGGAAGAGGTTACTATATCACAACTACGAATAGGTCACACTAAAATTATGCGTTCTTTCTTACTGGAACAAGAACCACCATGGTGTCGTACATACCAAACCCAATATATGGTAAAACATCTAATTGAATGCATTGATCTTGAGTAAGAAACAATTTCTTCAAGGCAAAAAGCCTAAAAGAACTATTCAAAAATATTAAAATAAATAGAATAACATTCTGAAATCAGTTTGATTATATCAGAAAATATATAAAAAAAAAAATGACTATTTTCTTTAAATATAAACCAAAATAAATCAGTTTTGGTATAAAATGATTCTAAAGAGTTAAGCCATTAAAAATCCACTTAAACTTATTGTTTGTGGGAAGTTCATTATGTCATTACAATATCACATGTTTTAATATCACACTTTTCAAGCGTGTACTGTGCTAACTTTACTGGTATAAAGCAAGCAATGTAGAATAAAAGATTCTGTCCAGAAAACTCTTTCATAAGGCAAACAACCACATTACCCATGACTACTGGGCATCATCTCTTCTACTAAGGTAGATCTCAGTATATATATATATATATATATATATATATTCATACTATTATCAGTGGTTCACTACCCAGCATTTAATAATGCTTGAACATAAGTACCCAGTCAATCATTGGATACATTTTGTATATTTTTACCTCTCTTCTCTGGCTGAGGATCATCCTCATCATATACACAGTGTAATAATGACCAAATGGTGTGTATTCCCTCAAGTTTGCACATTTTCATCTGATGTTCCTTGTATTTAGTGTTCACTATCTTCAAGCTAATGTCATTTCTAACTGGTAAGCTTGCATAAGGATTTGCAAAGATGGCTCCACTTTATGGATTGTCAAATGTCATTGATGTGGAGATAATCAGTCATCTGTATCCTCTTCCATGCTGTCTGTGACAACATCCAAAATTTCTGCTTGTTAATTTCCTTTGTCAGTGACAAATGACTGCATTTGATTCATTAAAGTTTAGGAAGCTTAATATATAGTAAAATTATGTGGTTGGTTGAAATACATTGGGTCAAATTATGACTGAAGGTCAAATGGCATGGAGAAAATCAGTGTTTATAAATGACATACACATAACACTGGCTAGTGTACCAGCTGACCCAGTATATGTCCAGTTACACAGCAGCTGGTATAATGGCCATCTAGGTACAAAATGGTCAAAGCGGAATATAGAGTATTTATTTCTATTAAGCACAAACTGTTACATTGGGCAACAAACAAGACACATGCTGTTAGATATACATAAAACCATGTCCATTTCAATTTTCATGGCTTCAGCCAAATATGGACAAGCAAAACTTTTATATATTGTATATACTTGAAACCTCCATAATTGCTTCTGCCTATAATAAAGTTTTGGGGATTAAACTATCCTATAAGTTAACTGACTTTAATATTTAGCATGAAAGAGAATATTCAGTAAAATAAGTGTTTTCCAAAATAATTATAAAAAAAAATTAAATCTTTTAAGTTAGATTTCATTAAAATTTCATTTTTATGTATTTTCCCTTTTTCATTTTTTCTTTCTTCAGTTCTTGTTATGAAGAAAAAATTCTGCTTCAGAGAGAAATTTGCAAATACTTTGTCTCTCTATTTTATGAACTTGGAAATATTTTCTTTTTAGAAAAACTGGGTCTGGCACACAGAAAACTGCTGGAAAGGCTGGCCTCACCATGTAAGGATGAGATTCTTTTCTAATCAGTTAATCTTTGTTGATTTTCTAGTTCTACTGTATGTTTAATCAATGATAATACTTGCAAATTGTTTTTCATCTCTTAAATATCTTACCTGATACTTTCAGTATTAAAGTGCTTTGTCAATAGTTTCACTCACTGGACTGGCTGATGGCATTTATGGAATTTATTAGCCTACCCTTCTATCTTTCTCTCTCCACACACACACACACACACACACACACACACATAGGAAGTTGTCAAATCCCTAAACACTGGGTTAACTTCCTTTTTATGATCTCTTTATACAAAGCTCAGTTGATGTGAAAAATATTCAAGCTCCATCACCATGACCGAAATACTAGATAACTTAATTTCTCCCAACAAGACTTGATCTAATTATTCTATCAAAAATTGGCATCTATCTGGAATATTAATCAATTTTCTAGTTGTTTTGCAGTTCTGCTCTAATTCAGAGCTCGCAAAAGCAAAGCAAAATTTTGAACTATTTCAGGATGGGTTGAAGATATAATTTATCCAACAGCATTCATGGTTTTAAAGTGCTTAACAGATTTCACTCCAATTTAAGATAAAAAAAAATTAATGACCATAAAAATTCCTTACAATCTTCAAACTGAGTATTTGTCAATTACAATTGAATGGAACCTCTTGGTTCATATGTTTCTTTTTCTACAAATGCTATGATTGGTTCTGTTTCTCATGTTCAGTCTTGTTGGTCAGTTACTTATTCAGCTTAGTCTGACACAGTGAGACTATAGTAGTTCACTTAGTGAGGATTGAACATGATGCACTAATGAATTAATCCCATCCCCACAAGAAAACAAACAAGTTTGGTAATAACTATTAAAATGAATGTTCCAGCAATTGTTTTGTTTTTAAATGATAATTAAACCTGGGAATCAAGTCATTAATTGGTAATCAGAGGAAACAATTATAACGAGCAAAACATAATTGAGATATACTTTTACAGAGAAGTATTTGTTGATTGAGAGGTTTGAATGTAATATGTCTTATTTCATGATTGAAAATGATGTGAGACCTTCCTGCCTCATTCATTGCCTAGCTACCAAAACAATTTTTTACAATGATGAATTTCAGGATTTTATTGGTTAGTTTCAAATTAACTTAATTTTCCAGAAGACTTGTGAAGATACCGTGTGTGTGTGTGTAAAAATGGGGACAGTATTTTTGTAAATGCATGATCTGACTACCACATGATCAGGGTAGATGCTAAAGTCTCTTAAAACATTACTAAAGTTATTCACAAATATAGTAATTTTTTTGTTTTCTTGAATTTACATTGGACATATATGACTAACATAGGTATGGAAATTCTTTCAAATCTTTCACATTTTCACTTAAATTACGTAAATCCTGAAGTAAAGTTACTTGTTTTACATGATTACCACTTTCTCTCTTTTTTTCAACACCATAACTTTTGTTGCATTGTCATGTTTTCTCTACATGTTTGCAGCCTGTTGGCACAGACTTATACATCTATTATCTGATAGAGCTTGGTTTTTACTGGAGCTTAATACTCAGTTTGTTGATGGATATAAAAAGAAAGGTAAGCCAGGGTCACCCCCCCTTCTTTTTTTTTCTTTTTTTTTTTTTTATCATCATCATATATAATTTTCTTAATTACTTTCTGGTATGCATTGACCAACCACTAATGCTACTGTTATACTAGTTTCCTGCATTTGCATGCAATCATCAGGTAACTAGTAAATGTTTTTTTGTGCAATGGACATTTTTAAACTAACTCAGTTCACTCAAGATATTACGAGAGCAGCTGATGCGTACATAATATGCATGCTCCAACTAAACTCACTGAGAGGCAATGGCTCTATGACCAAAGTATAAAAGCTGAAGAATCACCATTACTTGGGTAAAAAAAAAAAAAAATCAAACATCAGAAGAAAAAAAAATGCAGTGTCTTGAAAGTTGGAATAAATCTTGATGTGGAAATAACTTTTCTTGTGCCTGCCTTGTTACATGTGTCTTTTAGTTTCTATGTATTCGTTGTAATATATGTGTGAAGAAGGTTGTAATGAATTTTACTCTGTATGGATTAGGCCTCACTTGTCTTGTGAGTGTATTTGTATCAAACTGATACTGTAACAAGTAAATTCTAGTAACTTCACCTATAATACCAAGTCTTCTACAATGTGTCACTCAAAATGACTTAGACTTGATCCTCCAAAACCATCACTATTAACACCATTCAATTGCTGACCACCTGTACACTTTGGACCTTGTTAAAGAAGGAGCAGGTGGTGACAGTAGTTTTCAATTATCCCGTATTATGATTGCAATGTCTCCAATAACAAAATACAATCATCTGACTTTAATTACAAAATCCAGTGTTGACTTAGTAGCATTAAATCGGATCTAAGACAAGGTTACAAATGGATTTGCAGTTTGTCCTGGCTTCAATGATAATGTTTTGAATTCAAAATTTAAAATAATTTCCCCAATTAATATTGAAGAAAATTAAATCGCTCTTATTGCTTTTAATTTAAATCCACAAAAATTTTGCATGTTTTAATTTGTTTCTCTCTGTCAAATGAACAGGTTCATCATTCAAGGGAGAGAATTCAAATGCTGATAGCTTTAAAATGTTTTCTTTTTTTTTTTTATCACAATTATTGATTGACTTTTTTCTTTTTTTTTTTTTTTTTCAAGTTCACTTGTTATGTATTTTTTAGGTAAATTTGCATCTGAGTCTTCCCACTTTTTCTTTCTTTTTTTTTTTTTTAACATCTGAAATGGATCTCAATTTTTAACTGGCCATTTAAACAGTTTCTTGTAATCAAGATGTTTTATCTCAGCATATAAAAGGCTTGTTAACCTTTAGTTATGCTATTATAAAATTAAATCCAAACTTTCAACTATGCAAAATTTGAAGACTCCATTTTTCAAATTTCATATTCAATAGATTTGATGGGGTTCTTTGTCTATAAATCAATTAATATTTTAAAAGCCTTTTCTTTGCATGTATATTTTTATATAAATGTTTGAAAGCAGTGCACATAGCTGATTTTTCACATGTTAAATTGTTGATTTTTACTTTCAGGATTTTAAAGTAATGATAATTCATCACATTGCCACAATAATCCTCCTCTATATGTCCTGGGTATTGAATTTTATCCGAATTGGCGCTCTAACATTATTTGTTCATGATATTGTTGACCCCTATTTAGCAGTGAGTATATTTAATCTTTTATTTCCTCCACCCCAATCGTTTGTTTTAGGCCATAAAAAAAAAACATAAAAAGCATTTATAGAGGTTCATTATTTAGCTTTTGTTAAATAGAGTAAATATTGTATCATGAAAATGTGTTCTAAAATTGAATTTCCTGTGACAAAAACTTGGTTATTAGTACTTTAGGAAAGTCTTTTTCTTGAAGTTTTTTGTTATATATTCTGAATTTAAGTATTAATTTCATCTCAACTTGTCAGGGATGTAGAAAAAAATATAATTTTCAGATTAACAGAATTTTAAATTCTGAAACAAAGCTTCTTCACAAAGGAAATTTCTGCATAAAAAATCTGCTATAAGAAGTAACTCTTGGGTATATGCAAATCTGAATATCAAAAAATTTTAAATATTAATCTCCTTCACCTTTTTTTATTCAGCAATTATCCAGAAAGTGTTGTTTCTTCATTAAAAGAAAAAAAGATTTATCCACATATATTTATATTTACTTAAATGTCCTTTGTCATTTATTTGACTGTCATTTATTTGAGTTAGTGATGAACCAATGAACTATTGTGGAAAAGATAGACAAAAAAAGTGTTTCTCTGTTTCCTGACCCCTTATGGTCTTACATTATTGTCCCTGAGATTAGAGGGGGGGAAAAAGGACCACTTTATTGTTTTGGTGACATAACAGCTGGGATTGATGTTTTTTTTTTGTTTTTTTTAATGGTTTTGAAATTTCCTTGTTGATTATGCTTACTCTAGAAATATTTATAAATTACATCAACAGGTTTGTTAGTGAATCTACTTGGCATTGACTTTTTGTTTGCATAGGAATTGTACAAGAAAAACCAAGCATGGTTCATTATTCTATGGTTGATAATGGCCTCTTTACTAAATAGAGGGAGAAAGAAAGATCAAATCAGGGACAAGATTTCCTTTTTTTTCAATTAATTTGAGTAGGTTACATTGAAATACTTGCTATGTCCTGTACTCATGTCATGTTACCAAATGAAAAGTCCTTTAATCATAGTAACCATGACCTTGCTCATACCAAATTGCTGAATATATTACACTACTATAAAATCAAGTGGAAAGGTAAACCTCCTCATGTAGCAGAACTTTAGTAATAGCTTCAATGCTAATTGGAGGAACAAAAGAAGCAAATAAAGCACAAGCAGCAAAATTAATTACTTGGTTTTATTTGCAAATTCATGAGATAAAAGGACAGTCTTGTTTATATTTAAAGTAATGTTCTCTCATGCTTAATATTTGTCAATTAAAAATAAATTGTTCTTTGTTTATATAGGTGTTAGAATGCAGACATAATAAAATAGTATAACCTGACATGCAAAAAAAAATAATTTCTTAGTTGGCCAAAACTAAATACAATTTACCATATGCTTGAGGGAGGAAGTCACTATTTTTGTAATTTTACACCATGTTGAAAATATTTTAGGAAAATGATCTATTTTTTTTAATAGAAATTCCAATGTGCAATTCATAACAGAATTATTTATAAAATCTTGTAGCTGTTGTTGCTTTCATAATCTGAAGATTTTTCTGCTCACATTGCATAGTTCTGCTCACTTTAGTTTTATACAACAACAGATGAAGAAAAGTAAAAACTAAAAACAACTTGTTCAGTCAACTTGATCTCGATCTGACTCTTTTGCAATGTTTTTGGGTTTTTTTTACGTAATGAAAATCTACTGCTGTCAGGTTTTTATTGTTCAGCCACTGATATTTTCATAGGAATCTCATGCAATATGGGAAAATATTTTACCCCATGGTAACTCATTTTATAAATGGAAAAACTCAGACACCAACATCAAAGAAGTCATGAAATGATGTTTTTATTGCTGGAAAAACTTGTCAAGAAATTTAATTACATGTGGTGGTTGTTTTTATGGATAAAAATGTGACATTGGTCTGTTGCAGAGTATTTCAGACTTTTTACAGTGGTAAAACACTTATAAAAATAAAATTAGTGTGACTACATTTTGTTAGCATAACCTAATATATGACTTGATTAAAGATTTAGCTCATAATTTAAAAAAAAAAGTAACCAATTGCATTACTATGTTGTGAATCACTAGTTTTGAAAGCTTTGATCTTTTGTTAAAGAATTGTTGTGGAGATAATTTTCTCAACTGAAATGATTTTTTTTATAAATTGACTTTCTTTTCAGAATTGCCTGTTCTTTGAAAATGTAAGATTTATCAGATTATCTGTTACACTGCTCTTTATTTGCAGGGAGCTAAGATGGCCAAATACTGTAAAAATCAGGCAATGTGTGAAGCGCTTTTTGGAATTTTTGCAATTGTCTGGATCATATCAAGACTTGGCATCTATCCATTTTGGTCAGTTCTCATACATTTTATTTAAATGTTCAAAATTATTTATTATGTAAGTTTTTGAGTGTAAATATTTTAAAAGAAAATAATTTGAAGATTGATCTTCTTTTTATGTCTGGCTTTCTTATTCTGGACATAACCAAGAAAAATCTGTTACAATTTATTGAATTAATGGACAATTCTGAAATAAGTAATACTTTTGATTTTCACTTGTTGCTGGTGCATTCCATTATAGGTAAAATGGTGTGGATAAATTTGGTAGATTTCCTGATTTTGTGTCTGTTTAAAGACTTGAATAAGCTCTTGAAAAAAATGATTTTGTTGTTAAATTTTGTACAATGCTTTTAAGTAGACTGGTCTGTTTGTAAAAAAAAAAAAAAAGCAGAAATGGGGGAAAATTTTTGTAGATTAGCATAGATTCTGAGTAGATTTTTGCTACTTTTGGTAATTTTTCTTCGGCAGATCACACACAAAACATGAACTCTTTTTCGGGGTAGGTGATTCTCTTTCACTACAATATGCAGATAATCAATGACATTTCTAATAAATATTTGTAAATAAACAACTAGTGCAGATAACTCTGTAAAAGCCAGGGATCAATTTAACACTGTTATGAACAATGTACACACCCCCTCTAAATTAATTTTTTTTTTTTTCAATTCTAACAGTCTGTGCTTGAGGAATACACACACACACACACACACACACACACACACACACACACACACATTATGAGTGGACCCGTCCATTTAAATATTGCTAGATTTTGTTTGCAACTGCTAACTGGATTGGTTTCACTGCACAAAAGTGAGTTGGTGATGGTTTACTTTACTGTTGAAGAATAAACATTGTCAAAATTATATATTCTTTTTATATTGATTAAAAAGTCTAAAAGTGTATTTCATTTTGTGTTTGTTTTTTGTTTTTTTTTTTTGTTTTTTTTTTCTTTCATTCAGGGTTTTACATTCTGTCTACTTTGAGATCCATGACCATGTTGCTCCATTTCCTTCCTTCACGGTTTTTGCTTCATTGCTGTTCATTTTACAAATCCTCCATATTGTGTGGACATACATGATTAGTAAGATTGCCATTCAAAAATTCACACATGGAGAGGTAAGAATCATGGTTTGATCATCTAATCTAAACTTTGATTTACAAATTAAATGTTATGAAAGATCTCAGATGCCCATTGTTTTTTTTTTGTTTTTTTTTTTGCTTCTGTTTGATCCAGATTGAATTTCTTATTCGTTGTAAAGCAGAATGAGTGAAATGAGCATATGTGTTCTAAAAGATTTTAAAATGAACTTTGAAACATTATGACAATTAAATAATCTTATGACACCATTCATCCTAATGAACTATCATGGAAAAGAAATTGTATTTAAAAAAGAAACTGATCTTGTATGTTTGCTGGGTATTTATTATTTAAGGAAAATAACTTCTATGCACAAGTTAATGTTTGATATTTTTTCATCCCTCAAGTTCAGAATTTCATAATGTAATTATGAATACAATAACAGTTAACCTATGCATGCATGTTAAATAAATCTTTTGAAATTATGAAAAGTACTTCCAAAATGGCAGTTTTAATAAATCTGCCAATATTTTATAATTTGACCCTATGAATATTCTAAAAAAAACAAACACATTGATATTGAAATTTTTTGTTTCTTTTTTTTGTGTTAGATTCATCAAGATGTTAGAAGTGATACAGAAAGCGAAGAAGAACTTCTTGATGAACCAGTAATGCCTCCAATGAATAATCATGTCATGCCTGATGACTCTCCACAAGTTAAACGCCATATGATTGGAGACCATGACCTTGGAAATCAATCTTAATATTTAAGGAGGAAAGAAGATGGAATAAAACCCAAGTGGAAGCTAGAGAGAGAAATGGAAATAGACTTGAAAGAAAAATCATTGTCACATTTTCCTTCCTTTTTATATTTTATTTTTTTTTTAAATTCTGTCATTTGGTTTCTTCATTTTGAGAATATTTAAGAAAAACCAACAATTGTTTAATTTTTTATTTTTCTCATTTTTTTTTTCCTCCTGTCTAGGGTAGTAAGGGATTCTGATGATGAAAAAAGAAACTTGTTGACTAAAATTTAAGATTCAAATATAAATGTGCAGAACAATCAGGCTGTTGGGAAAATTGTTATAAGTTTATATTCCTTTCCCTGAGCCTAAATTAAATCTTACCAATGATTAAAGAATGCAGCAAAAAGAGGAATAATCATTCAATTCTATCTTCCCTTTTATTCTGGTTGCAAACTGTAATGAATCTAAAGGCTAAAACAAAATGATTTTTAATTCAGCCATACATTTTAAGTCAACCAATTGTCTTCTAATCTTCAGTAATTTCTGAACATTATATATCTTTGGTAAGATGATTTAATTGGATCCTAACTGAAATCACTCATGATACTGTATAATTAAATACTAAAATACAATGCTAAATAAAGAGGTCTGTAGGTTTGTCATATTAGAGACTATTTGATAGGTGTTGGCTTAGCATAGAATTCTATGGATATACATTATTGTAACAATCTGAAATTAAAGTTATAATTGAGTCAAGTCTAAACACTCTTACTAATTGTCTAATTTTTCATACCAAGTGTTTTATATAAAAAAAATCTCATTCTAATTATTTATTTTGAAAATTTTGGTAAAATTCATTTTTACTTCTAACTCATTAATTTTTCCCCCTTTATTACTAACAAAAAAATGCAATTTTTATGTCAGCTTCATGACGAAGAAAAATATAATTAGAGAAAAGTTAACAAATATTGACTGGCTACTTTGGAAGTTTGACAAAACTTAAAGCTCTTTTTAAATTGTGTCACAAAGAGAGGTAAAGGTCTCAATTATCTCTGCCAGCTACAATTTTCCCTCCACCATTATATTAAGTTTAGATAGTGCTGTTCTTTTCATATAGTTTTTATTTTTTCCTATCATTTTATCTTTGTTCAATGTTACACATTATGGCTAAAAATAAGTTAAATTTTATTAACTGGATTCTTAAATATTACTCAGGCCATCCCTAAATTGTAACAAAAAAAAAATTCTAAAAAAAAAACTCTGAATCAGATGTTTGACATATATGAATGAAATAATATTTTTTAGCTTTTTATAAAATAAAAATTATTATATAAACTTTAAAACATCTTCAACATTTCATCAATTTGTGAAACTATGAAATAAAATTTATTGGTTTTATAAAGAAACTGCTTCTCTACAGAACAAACAAAAAAAATATTTTTTTACTCTCTGGATAATTTACTCAGTCATAAATAAATTCCATTGTCTATTTTAGACCATCAACAAAAAAAACAAAAAAAAAAACTTATAAATTTAAAATTAGACCGGTGGATTGGAGGCCTCATTATTTTACTTAGTTATTTTGACTTTTGTTTCTCTAATTGAACATAAATTTTTACAGTGTATTTGCTGACCTGTGAAGAATGGTTACAATGATTGCCATGTAAAATTCCTGCACATTATGCACAAAATCTTGCCTTGTTCCAAAGTTGGCCAGTGATTTCTGTTATTTAAAGAAAGTCAGAAAACTGAAAACTAATATTCTACCCCCTCCCCCCATCTGTTTACTGGCTTTGGCCAATAAAATAATGTTTCCTGCTGTCACTTATTTATGACTGATGTTCAGGTTTCTAAATCCTGTTGAATTCTTCAGAGTATTAGTGATACTTCTATTATAAACATACAATCCAGTTATACAAATTACTGAAGATAGGACAGGAGACAGAACTTTGATATTATAAATACTCAGTTTTCAACCTTGCAGTAGCTATCACAACCTTAAGCAAGTCTTTCACACCCTCTTAATGTTGGATTTCTATTTACTCTTTGGAATATACCTATTTTTTTACTGATAGGGGTGAATGTCCTCTTGCTTCCTTCATTAAAAATATTCCATCTTTACCAAGATGGATTCAGCTTGAACTGACTAGTAACTGTCAAGACTTGAGACAAATTCTTCCAATTTTCTGTTTCTCAAATTGGACAAAGATACAAAAATAATTTATCTCAAAGGAAGTCACCAATCTTTAAAAATTAAATGTTGGGTAACTTTTCTTTTCTGTGTGTGTGTGTGTGTGTGTGTGTGTGTGTGTGTGTGCGCGCACGCACGTGTTGGTTAAAACTACTTGTCAGTTTTTATTTTTATTTAGTTTTAATCTGTTAGACATGATGTTGAAAACTCTTATCACCTCTGCTTTTAAAAAAATATTTTAAAAATTGTGTTCATAGCAAGTAAGGTTTGAAATTATTAATCTAAGCAATCCTCTTTAGTCTCCTGTTGCTATTTCTGAATAATTTTTTTTTTTCTTAAGAGCTGTTTTTTCTTTTGTTAAATCAACCCACTTTAATGTTGCTCACAAGTATTCATGCCTTTTTTAATTAGCTTAAATTCCTGTACTGGTTCTTGTCAAATAACATTGTTCAATTTCAAAGGATCTTTGGTTCCTTAATTCTTGAAGTGTAGATGAACCTTGTGTCTTAAGTTTCCAAGGTTGCATCTAAATTTTCAGATAGCAAAAAGATGATACATAGACCAATGAAAAATTGGATATATCTATTACCCCTCAGAAGCAACTATAAAAGTAATATTTTATTTTTATTTTGAATTCTAAATCCACTAGAGAAAAAGTACTTAATAGGTGAATATAATCATTTTTTATTTTGGGACCACTAATTGTTACTGTTATTTGATAAATTGTTCTGAAGTAGTCAGATATCTACTGTAATATTTTTTTTCTTATTAATTTGTTGGTAATCATGTTCCTTATACAATGATTAAGGTTGATCAAAAATGGCATTGACTTAATTTTACTATAGAAATCATTTCTAAAATTTGCTGATTATTATTTATATTTATCTCAATATTTTATCATTTTTTTGTCAAATATTTGCTAAGTTGAAGGACAAGTTATCTCCCACTTTGGAAGTTGCTTGCTTTGCTATTATATTCTTTTTGCAGGTAACTATTACCAAAATTGAAATTTGATTTCAAGAAGGATTTTTTTTTTTTTTTTTCCCAGTTGAAACTTTTGATCTTATGAGTATTTTTATTTTATTTCATTAAATAAATAAACAAAAAAAATAACTGCAGGCAGAATTTTGGTCACAGATTTAAAATCAAGGTATCCAAGAATCACTGTTGTATCTTAATAATACAATGAATGATTGAGTCATATTACTAAAATGACCTGTTTTACAAAAAAAACAAAAAAACAGTTATATTAAATCTCCCCCCCCCCACCTCCCATTTTTAAATGCTTAACTTGTTTGTAATACTTAAATTGAGGCAGGGAGATACAAAGTAAGATGAAAATGAAATAATTTGTCCATTGGATTTACTATTTTTCTTCATTCTAATCATTGAAGTGCATATTTATTAAAAAACACACAATATTGTATCTTTGCCTCTTGTGGCTCATAAATAACATCTTAGAGACCCAAGTTTTCACATTTAAGAATGTAATATAAAATGTTTATCAACATGAGTACTGTTGACTCTTTATCTAATTATGTAATATTTGCTCATTTCACAGCAAATATATTCTCTTGGTGAATTTGCTTGCATACATTATGAGGGTGACTGCTGATAATATTAAAAAAAAAAAAAACTTGAAGCACACTCCATGATAAAAATCCTGACCTGGATCAGTTGTCAGTTTTTGACACAAATGTCCAAACCAAAGGGGCTGTTGTTGCAGTAATTGAAATATTTGATGGAAATTTTTGTATCAACAAGTGAAGATTAAAAAACTTACATTTGTAAACATTTTCAATAGCACACTGGTTATCTGATTTTAAAAAAAAAGAAGAAAAAAAAAGAGGGAAAAACACACACACAAAAAATTTTGCTTGAGAAGGAACTTGAAAATAAATCATCTGCCTTTTGAAGTCTTGTTCTTCAAAACAATTATTTTGTGATCTTTAATACTTTACTAAAAACCAGACGTTTTCACTAAAAATTAAATTAGAATTTTGAAGTCTTGTGTCTCCTGAAATGAATACAGTTTGCTCAAGCTTGGATTAATTGCATCTTTTATGAATTTGCAATAGCCATTCTATTTCAACATATTTTAGAATCATTGAAAAATTTGTTTCCTTTACTTTTTATTGGTTTAACTTTATTTCTATTTAATTGGCAATGAATGTGTGCATCTTATATGCAGTCAAACTAATTAGACAAATGCCAAATTAGCAACTTAAAACTTAATTGACAAGCAGACCATAAAACTTAGAAGTTTTCCATTACATACTGACTTTACAACTATGAGACTTGGTTTCAAATGATTCTCTATTTAACTCTGCATATTTTGTTTGGTTAATGTGTGATCACAAACTTTTACTGGTGCTTAAAATTCTATATAACTAGAAAACCATGCAAGTTTGAAATATCTTTTGTTTCATTTTGATCAAATATATTTTGGTCAATATTGTCCACGTGAATCTAATTTTTACTCATGGTTAATTTAATATTTGTTTTCATATTTTAATATTTGGCACTCTTATGTAATTGCGGTTCAAAAGCCTTGTTAAACATAGTAAATGTTAATTTATTTTAAAAAAAAGAAAAAAAAATATAAATTCTTTATCTATTCCAGTTCTATTTCATTTTCCTCTAAAATTTCATGTCTCTAAAGCAGATATTTTAATTAGCATTGTTTTATATTAGATTAATTTCTGTAAATATCAAAAAACATTTGTATTAAAGGAAAAGGTAAAATACAATCATCAAAAAGAAAGTCTTGCATGTTTTTTTTCCTTTCCTCTTTCATTAAATTTTTAACACTGATATTAAGTATGTA